ACACACACACACACACACACACACACACACACACACACACACACACACACACACACACACACGGAGTCTGGATCCAAATCAGTATTATCAGAGATATGCCAGGGAGAGGAGCTAGCATTGTACAAAGGAGAAATTCTTTTCTTTTTCTTTTCTTTTCTTTTTTTTTTTTGTTCAACAAACAATTCTCTGACATTTTATTTCAGGGACTAAAATAGATCAGATTTCTTCAAGAGAACAATGAAAGTTCTTTAATCTTATAATTATTCACAGTTGGTGCCTGGGTAAACAAACAAAAAGCTTCAGGGTGACGCTTCAGATCGTTCTCTTATTTATCTTTAGCTGAATAAAGCAGCGTCTTTATTGCTGTGTTGGGTTCTCAGAAGGACCACAAGTGTTTCTGTCTGTGCAGTCAGTCTGAGGGGACTTCAGCCCGTACAGCAGTGTTTAACTATACACCTGGTGAGGGGAACACAGTCCRAGTCGTATTTGGTTTAAATCTTAAGCTGCGCTCTTTTGGCTTTGGGTGTAGAAGGACACAGCAACTATGAGGTCAAAAAGAAGAAACAACAAACAAATAAACACCAAAAATAAAAAAAATCAAAATAAAACAGCTGGCCTTAAATTGACAAGTTAAACAATTATGTTACAGTAATTTACACATGCTCTGCAGAGCCTTTTGGTGCTGATCAGAAACACCGTCCTTAGTAAAAATGAGAAACTACATATGAAAATTTCAGAGCAGACAAAATAGTTAAATGTTGGGAGTAAATACAYCAGTCTGCATGGTTCACAGCACAACCTCTTCTTGTTTATGGACACATTTTCTACTGAAATGGGAGCAGATACGCAGAAAGAGATCGGTAGAAAAGATACAGCCAATAACAGATGTTCATGTCACTTGGTAACACTGTTTTTATCTTAAAGAAATATACATAATTATCCTTCTGATGGGTTTTTTAAGTGCTGAATTCATGTTTGGATCATATTTTGTCCACAAGTCCATTGTTAGGTTAGAACCAGGCTGACCTGGGCTAACAGAGACAYGAGGCAGGAGGTTCACGTTGTGGCAGCAGGAGAGTCGGTTTTTGGCGTGCTTTGGTCCTGAGATTAGCTCAGATACAAAGGTTTGTCTCTCTGAAGACCTCTGCAAGCAAAAACAAGAGAAAAAAAAACACAGAATAAGGACAGAAACTAAATTAATCACCAGGACTATACAGGTGTCACATGTCCTATATATGGTCAGGATGAAGCAAAATAACAAATATATAAAACCCACAAAGAAACGTTTCAGATATAGTCTATGTAAAAGAAGCATTTGTATAATGTAGATTAAAGCTTTTCTTTTAATTAAACAAAAACTTTAAAGCTGGTGCAATGAGAAAACTCATGAAAARCCTTCTTTTCTTTTATAGTTACATCATTTTCTTTTATTGTCAAAAAATTCAGACACAAACAAACAAGTAAAACAAACAACAACAGGGGTGGAACCAGAGGGAGGAGCTTCAATGCCTTTAAAATCTTGTTTTGGTGTTATTTTTTTATTATTTATTATTAGTGAAGATATTTGAAACTTTAGGAGGGGAAATAATTGAGAAAAAACATTCAGATTTGGAGAAGCTACAGTCCAGCTAACTTCCTGTTTTTCTGTACTRTCCAGTTTCTGCTGACTGTTAAACTAGGTAAACTTTCATTAGCGATAAAAATGCAATAATGCTGCTAATAAATTCTTATTTTTATAAGGTTTACTTGATTTATTGAAGAATCCTGCCCCAACCAATAAGAGATGAAGTTAACTGCTTGTGAAATATGGTTTTAATACCAACCCATTGCCATGGTATTCGCTGCTCCAGTCCAAAGAAGGGTGGTGGTTTGGTGTGTGACGCCCTAGCTGGTGGTAGTCCACTGATGATGACATCACTGAGCCGCTGTTCAGCATACCTCCTCCCATTGGCTGATAGTCAGAATGGAGAGATGAAGGGTAGCCCTGAAGATAAAGGAAGTCTTGATTAGACGTTTAGACGGGAGTTTTATTTATCTGAAGAACAAAACATTAGTGTTCACAACCAAAGTTCATTGAATTTCTACTTATTTTTTTAAATGCAACAAACTTGGAGCTGCTTATATAAGGAAATTTCACAAAGACCATTCCGTCTTTAAGCTGCCTCTGAATGTTTGCAAATAACTAATCGAGCCGACTGCATACTGCACAGACGTGAGCATTCAGAAAAAAGAAAACATTGCAGAGGACAGAAGTGTTTTCAGGTAGATATGTAAATAACAGCATTGTCTGCATCTTTAAAACTTTGAAGTAAATCATTAAAATAAAAGCAGAAGAGCGATGGTCCTAAAACAGGACCCTGTGGATCTCCTATTTTCCAGTTTTTAAGTATTTCTACTCATTAATTTTGACCAATTTTTCTCTTTATTTTTAAAATGAACTGAACCACTTCAGAGCTATTTTTTCTAGAGAAAACACATTTAAAATGCTTTATATATCAATGCAAAATCTTACTATTTGTGCTAAAATTAAATCACAACCTCTAACATGTGCTTTATCATCTCTTCTTTAAAACTTGTGAGTTTTAAAGAAAAATTGGTTCTTTATTATTGAAGTATGCAACATTAGTTGTCACTATATTTAAATACATTTAGAAACAAACACGATTACTTTTAGTGCAAAAGTCTAAAAATATAAAGCATAAAACGTTTGYTTTATGTTTTCTAAGGAAAGGTCACAGATTCAGTCTTTTTACAGACTAAAGTTTAAACTTGTCTTACGTGGCAAAAAGTCAGATTTTTCACAGAAAAGTGTGATTGAGAMGGTTTTAATTTGGCTTGTTTACTTCCTTCTTCAACCAAAATAACTTCATAGACAGCTGATGGATTTTACATCAGCTTTTATGTGTTGCAGAGATGCTTTCAGAGGAACAAAGAATGAATGCTCAGTACGTAAGCCAAGTGAAAAGATGACAAATTAGTCACAGGTTCATTAGGGGTAATTACTGAGGTTTGAGTATCTTGATGGTTTCATCATATGTGAAGGAGGAGGAGGAAGTGAGCAGAAAGATAAGAGGTTGGGCAGGAGACGGAGAAGGAGGTGAACATTTCTCCAACCCTAAGATACTTGAGAGAGAAAAGGAGGATGGAAAAATGAGTGTGTGGAACGATAGTGTAGTTGTGTGTCTGTGTGTGGGAGAAAAGGGACTGAAAGGGAAGTTAATCTGAGCGTTGTGAGTGAAAGAGGAGAAAGGGGAGGACAGCAGGTGGTTGAGGTCCCCCCCTCCTCCCCCTCTTCTCCTCTACCTCACCTATTCATCTATTGTAGAACAAATTCTTCTCCTTCACTCCTTCACAAAGACCCCATCTGCCTTCTTTGTCTCCCCCTCCCCCCCTTCAGCTCTCACTCCTCACCCAGTAAAAAAAAGTTTGATGCTCTCTGTCACTCCCCACTCCCTCCCTCCACCACCAGCTTCACTTTTTATTTGTAAAAATATGCAAMATATAAGGGAAACCGAAAACTAAAAAATAAATAAATAAATAATAAAAATGCAGAGTGAACTCTGAGTGCTGAGTTACTTGAGCTGAAASTGGAGTTCAAATGATCAAAACAAAAGCTAAATTTACCAAACATTTCTAAAAGCTAAAACCAACWAATATGTAGCTACAATGCTAAAGCAAGCAAAACAGTAGCTSAAAGCTAAAACWAGCRGAATARCTAAAACTAAAATGAGAGAAACAATAGCTCAAGGACAAAATCAGCAAAACCAGTAGCCTTGAACTAAAAATCAACTAAACAAAGATACAAAGTTATTTAAGGTTTTGATTAGTTCACTAGAGATTAAACCATATAGTTAAACATTTAAAACATTTAAAAGTTACTAAATTCTAAAATCACAGAAGTATTGTCCTGAACGAGCTGGACTTTTTATATTTGAATGGTAAAATAGCTAAATGTGTGCTGAAGTAGTTACAGTTTATGAAAGAAACTAAAACCAGAATATTAACATTACTTTTGTAATGGGGAGTTCATAACTGCACCATAAAATAGGCTTAAAACTRGAAGTATTCTGGGAATACATTAATGTGTTTTTGTTTCTGTGGTTAAACCAAACATAAATTTGCAGTATCAGTGCTGATTCTGCTCCTCTAATCTCCAGAGGTCCAACACAGAGGTGAAGGACTCCATCCATCCTCATCACTAAACAAACTTTATCTAATTTTATGACATAAAACATGATGAGAATGTGAATTCCTTCAAGGAATACTAGACCTTTAAATACATACATTAAAAATCTAATCCACTTTGACTTTGTCATGGTCTAATTATTTATATCTGTTTCCCCTTGTCACTGTCCATCACTCTTATCTTTCTGATGGCTCCGGACGACTCCACAGTGGACTGGTGGGAGTCTTGTGATTGGCTGGACAGTACATTTGGCAATCTGTGATTGGTTGTAAACTGTCACATGGTGTTGACACAATGTATATTATTGGCTGTATTCTGCTGACGCGTCCAGTAGCAAGCATGCAKAACTTCCTGATTCAGTTCTGTTTGTTTGTTGCTCACAATTAAATCATATTTGATTATCATATACGCAGACTTTTCTGGTATTATTCCAACGTGTTTCTGCTTTTGCGACYACAACTTCACTTGGAAAGCCAACTTGAACTTGCATAGAAAATCACACATTAGCTGGTTTAAAACAGAAAAGTTAGGCTGCAGTGTTACCACTAGGGGGCTGTATTTTGTATTTTGCTGAGAGTTGAATTTCAGTAGAAGAAGAAACTGGGGTCAAAAAACAGCTGTGGTCAACAAGGAGAAATGGAGATATGTCCATATTTTAACTTTTCCTCTGGATTATGTTTGATGCCACTCAGTCACAGATACTTACAGCTCCTCAGTTCCATTTTTTAATATTTCAAACTAATTTTTCCATTTCACCTTTTTAACATGCATCAAAGTGTTTTTGAAACACAGAAACCTAATGTTTGTCTGTGCGTTCTCTTTAAATTTAGATCATTTTTTAAAAAATTGCTAAATACAGATGAAAACAGCGTTGAACTTTTGCCCTGTATCTGCTTGATTTGTTTATTTTAATCTTAAATAAGTTCAGCAGAAGAAAATTCAGACAGTAAAACACAAAGACATTCTACCTGAAACATAAGTCTGAYAAATCAACATGAGACTTCACAGGTGGTTTCACATTTAGTCTAGAATTCTGTTTGTGTACACACAGGTGCTCTCTAAAGGAAATCTTGCTCCACAACAACCTCATTATTCAGCAGACAGAAACAGACTGATGGAGAGAAAAGAGTGACTCAGAGAAGTGTCGGGTGTTTTTCTTAGAGGGTGACACTCTCTACTGTACAGCGGAAAAGTCGGCAGATTTTTTTTWATTACCGCATCTCATCTCGTGTTCAGTTCATCTTACAGCTGACATTATTGACCAGCTTTGAGAAAGAATTCACATCATGGTAGATGTTTACGCCATAAAAGGAATTCAATGAAGACAATAAAAAGTAAATTTTGTACTTAAGCGCACAGTTTAGTTTAGTTGTGCATATTTACGAAATCTGTAAACACTTACTWTAACCAATTAAAACCTTTTCACATTCAATAACCCAGAAAACATTTAACCACTCCTGAATATAGAGTCTCAGTCAAACAATGATTGAGTAGATTTTTCATTTCGTCTTCATTTAATTCAGAATAATAATCAGGTGAGTAACGATTGTGTCAGGAAGTGTGTTTGAATGCAACACTTTGATGTTTGGTCAGTAGGACTGTCAATAAGTATAACTGGAGACACTAAATGAAGGTATAAAATGAGATATTCACGGCGTCTGACCTGTGTAATGGCAGGAGAGCGGCTCATTCCCAGTGAGTGTCCGCCAAGCTGCTGGTGCTGATGGTGTGGACTGTGCAGCCCCCCCAGGTGTGCCTGGCTGTGGAGTGGAGGGCTCACCTGAAGGGGAGGGGTGGATGCTGCCACTACGTTGCCCAGGGACAGGGATCCCTGGTGGGGGACGCTGGCCCGCGGCACGGTCCCCCTGGAGGACAGAGCATGGAGCTGGGGATGGATCTGGGCGTGAGGAGGGGGTAAGTGTGGGCCGAGGCCGGGGCTCGAGACGTGGGACGGGTGTGATGGGTGAGGGTAGGACATGTACATGCCCGGGTGCTGAGGAGGAGGAGGGAGAGGATGGGTGAGTGAGCTGGAGGAAGAGTGCTGGCCTGGGTGACCGGGGTAAACTGAAGGTTTAGGAGTGAACACTGAGGTAGCAGAGGGGGAGGACGAGGTGGAGGAGTGGGGAGCTTTCATCTCAGACGGGTCGTTGTAACTCTGAAACAAAAATAAAAGGAAAAATATGATCAGTTTGTAACACTGCTGTTAAACACTAATAACTGGAAAACCATGAAGGTGTGTGTGTGTGTGTGGGGGGTGGGGG